TAATCTTGAGGTGAGTTGATTTGCCTTTTTACCGTCACTAAAAGTGAAACACTAAATGCATGAAGCCTAACTTGCATCATGGCTCTCAGAAGCTGACACAGATGTAACGCCGTCTGTGCATTTAAGAAATAAGTGCTTCAAGTTTTAAAAACATGTTTAGCGCCTCTTTTCTGTTCGTATGGGACATTCTGTGTTGACAGGATGGCGCCGGGCTCAATAGTATAAATTAGCCTTTATACATTTAGTGTTTCATTGTCTTATAATAGTAATCTGATATGTTTTTGTTAAAGCAGCAAGCAACAGATTAGACATTTACAGAAACATGACAATTAGGTTAAAAACCTAAGGACAGGCGTGTGTGTGTGGGTGGGGGGTTTAAAACTGTGTGATGTGTGAGAATTAGTGCTGTGTAAGTGTGAGGAGGCTGCTCCATCAAAATGCACCAAAACAGTAACTGAAATAAATGCACATTCTCACTATATCTGTGTCTTTCTGTTTGTTTGTGGTAAGTCTTGTTTAAGTGGTGATAATTATTCTGAATTTCAGGAGCAGTACCACAGCTCACACTCTCCCCCCGTCGGTCCTCTGTCTATCTGTGCCTCATGCACTAAAACCCACTGCTCTCATTGGTTCCTCACAGTGTTACTGGAGGCCAAGGTAACGCCATCCAGAGGAAGAATCTGGTTAGATACCATATTTCTAACATTTTCAGCGCCGAGTACAATAACCTCAGACCTAGATGACCTCTAAAGCAGGAATTTAGAGGTCATTCATGTCTTTAAGACGTTCCTGCAGTTTAACTAATTGCTAAGTGTTACCTGTCTTCATTGGTAGAGCTGGGTGTCATCTGCATAGCAGTGTAAATGTATGCTGTGCCTTCTGATGATGCTGCCTAAGGAAGCATGTATAATGTAAACAGAATTGGTCCTAGCATGGATCAACCTTCCTATGTGAAGATGAACAACTTGGAGTCTGTTATTGGGAGGTATGATTTAAACCAATGCAGTGCAGTACCTTTAATACATATAGTATGCTCTAATGGTCTAAAGTGACGGCTTTTTAAGTAATTGTTTAACTACAGCCAGCTCGAAGGCCTGCGCTGTGTAGCACACTGAGACAGGTTGATCATATTTAAGCTTGAAGCATTAATTAATGGCAGGAGTTCTTTGAACAGTTTGTAGGAATGGGGTCAAAAAGGTACATTTTACTGAAATTACTGAAGTTAACTCAGAAACATCAATTAGAGAGAGAGTCTAAATAAATAACAGTGGTATTAAAGTAAAAAGTTAATGAAGTGATTACTAGCTAACATTAAAGGAATGATTGGCTCAACAGAGCTACAGTTCTGAAGAGAAACCTGGTGTTGTTCCTATTTTCTTCAATCAATGATGAATATTAAGATTTTCTAGCTTTACGGAGGGCTTTTTAAAAAAATCTAAAGTAGTAAGCTACTTAGCTCCAGGCTAATTGATGATCTTCTAAATTAGTGAAACCCCGTTTCTGCTGGTGTACATTAAATAGTGACAACAGGAAGAGTGCCACAATCTCCACTAAACAGGCTGCCATGAGTCAGAGTCTGCAGGAGTGACGCGAGGTAGAGTCGCTGCATTGAACTCCCACCTGCACACCTACTCTAGTTACTCTTGAATGATTTGGCATTATCCTCATTACATCAGCTGCACACTGCACAGAGGCCCAGAGTTCCTATAGATGTCAAAAATATCTGGAAATGTTTTTCTTTGGGAAATAAGACTGAAGACTACCTAAACAAACTGATTTTTAGTTTTACATCATTACACACTCAGCGCACTCTACAGCCTGGTAACATGGAGACTTTAAATAACTTGTTACATTTAAGAAAACAGCAGCAGACGGTTTCATAGACGTGTAATTGGTTACTTTCATGTAATAACAGGACCCAGAGTCCACATTATTATCAACAGATATGTTCACTCTGGGGGGAAACGAGTGAAGTCAGGACCAAGCTGGGGTTTTGAGAAACTTCTTTCATCACCGCTGTCCTGGACCAGATGTCCTGCTGACCCCCTGAGAGAGACATTATTTTAGAAACATCAGGAAACTGTAGCTCATCACAGGAATCCAGAAGGAATCCCAATCTTCACCAGCAGCTCTTCTTCAGGTCCATCACCACAGGCCCACTGCAGAAGCTGGACAAACCCAGCACTTTATGAACACTGTGGCATCAGAAGGACTCACATCAGTCTCAGATAAAGCTAAAGATAATGATGTTATTCAGTCTTGTGGAAAGTTCTTCCACAAGTTCTTCCATCTAGTTTTATTTAATGCTATCATAAAAATCTACGTATCCTGTCATATTCACGCAGCCGACACCAGTTATATGGACGTGTAATCGCTTTGACTGTTTGACAGCTAGAAGCACACCATGTAGTAGTTTAGCCTTTGTACTTTTTTCATCAGCTAATTTTGGAGTTACTGCAAATTTATTCCAATATTTTAAAATGTATTCAGCAGAGTGAACACAGAGGAAGATTTGTCTGTTGTCACTGGGTGATGCTGAGGGCAGCTCCTGTAATCAAAAAGACAGAAGAATCAATGTGAAGTTTATCCCTCAAAGCATGAAGAAAGTCTGAGCCTTACGTGTCTTCACACACTTTAGGATTTGTACAGGATCTTTGAGACATTGGTGCTTTTTAAATGAAGATCTGCAAAGATGAGATGGAGCAGGTTTCCTGTTCAGTCGTGTTGCTGCATCACGGTTACAGGCAGAGACAAACATATGGCGACATTATCAGTGCTGCTGTCTGAGCTCTGGACAACATATATTAATGCTTCGCATCATTTCTTTCAAATGAAGAAAGCTGTACAGAGTACTGCACATGTAAATGTGTGAAGAATATCTCATTAAGAATAATTCAGATTCATTTTGAAATAAAATATTTGAAACAAACTCACTAAAACTACAGAACTCTAAAGAGTCAGTCCTGGAAAATAAAACCCTCTCACCACATCCTTCAGCTCATCTGGAGAAGTATCTCGCCTTTTCCACCTAGCCAATAGATGTAATCTCTCCAGCATGTCCCAGGTGTATGCTGGGGCCTAGGAAGCTAAGAGAAAGCTTTTATTCTTCTCAGTTTTGCTGGGAATTGCTTCTTCATTCATGATTCATTCAAATCTTAAGTGTGACCTGCATCCACACTATCTCTCTGCTGAGTTTTGTCTCAATGTGCTGCAAAATTCCTGATAAGTTAAAGGACAAGTCAGGTCAAATTCAATGCGATATATTCCATATGACTATGGAGCTGGCTTCCAGTAGTCTAATTCCTTGGAATTGTTAGTCTGCCTGCCTATCTATCTATCGGTTCTCGTTCTCTCACTCGCGATCAGCTGATTTCATTTTGTGAGGAGGAAAATAGTGGCACAGTCTGCAGCGTTGATATGGACCAGGGGCGAATCTAAGATCAGAGCTTTGGGGGTGCTGAGCACCCAGAGAGCTGCCCAGCCAGGCAAGATAAAC